CAACTACTATGACGTGGGAAAATACCCGAACAAAGCTGAATGCCATACATGTAAGTACCCGCAAAAACTTAAGAAAACAAATATCTATCTATCTATCTATCTATCTATCTATCTATCTATCTATCTATCTATCTATCTATCTAAATGAAACTGGCTGTGACACACACTTTTGGTCCCATTGGTTTCTGTGAAATCCAAGTACAAGTACCTTATGGTATAAGCCTATGCTGATCCATCCAGAAATATTTTTTCTTTTAGTGAGACTTATTCTCAGGTAAGGGAATATAACCACAATGGAGGATCCAAGCTTGTGGGATCCAAACATATTTTGACTTAACCCCAGAGGTAGTCATTAGCAATCAGATGTTCTATTTTTTTAGGCAGGTGGGGGGAAATTAGTTAGCTGGTATATACAATGCCTACTTCAATAGTCTGGATAAAACAATCCAGTGAACTTTTATACATATGATTATACTATAAGGTACTTGTACTTGGACCACACAGAAACCAATGGGACAAAAAGCATGTGTCCCAGTCAGCTGGTCTTTAAGTAGCTTCAAAAGGATTCTGCAGGGCAACTGGGGAGTAATGCTGAAAGAGTTGCCATATGGATAATTATTATTATTTGGTCATTTTATTACTTGCTTGGTTTCATCAAGAGAGGGGAGGGACAGACAGATACATTGTTCAATCACTAAGTTGTGTCTGATTCTTTGTGAACTTTGTGTACTATAGCATGGAAGATTCCCCTGTTCTTCACTGTCTCCCAGAGTTTGCCAAAATTCATGTTCATTGACTTGATATCACTATCTAAACATCCTTCCTTGCACCTCTGGCATACAGTCATGCCAGCCACATAACCACGGGGTCATTTTTGGACAATGCTGGTTCTTCGGCTGTGAATCAGAGATAAGTACCATCCCCTAGAGTCAGACCCGACTGTGGGTGGAAACCTTTACCTTTATGGATTACTAAAATGCACAGCTCATTTTATAAAAATTGTTGAACATGTGATGATCTCATTGTCACTTTCCGTATTAGGTGGCAATATTATAAAGTTCAACCATTTTGGAAAATAATTTGCAATAGAAACAAATTTGAAAAATAGAATTTTCTTTCCAACTTCGTTTTGTATTAAATATTGCTACATCTGACATTCTTGCCAAGTATACTGAACTAGGTCTATATGTAATTATCTGCAATCTCATCCCCTACTGGAGGAAACTCATAATTCCCTCTTCAGAAAAATGGCTAATTAATCTCTTTGTAAGACTCAATATCCAAAATAATTTCATTATTTCAAAATCTGACACAGAAGTTATTCCAACTTGAAAACTATATTTAGATTACAAGACTATTTATAAGTTTTTCAAAATCAAAAATTTGGTTTGGTTTCTTCACACCAAGTCTTTAATTACCTGGAAAGAAATTACTATAATTTTTAATCTCCTTTTATTATATATACTGTGTTGACCGCTACTATTGATAGTCATATATTATTGGATATATTGGATGTTATTAATGACGTGGTTTATTCAGTTATCTAAACCCAATTAATGATACCCTGAAAATCCTAATTCCATGACACCTGTAAACTCCCTATTTTATCTATTCTGTGCTTTATTTTTCCTTTTACTGTGTTCTTTTTGTGTGTGTGTCTTTCTTCTTTCCCCTTTCCTTTATGTTTTAAAATGCTTAATAAAAAATATAATTAAAAAAGAGTAAATGTTTACCATTCTGAAGCTCAAGATACACAGCCAGTAAGATAGCTTCTGGTGGAATCTCTTTGGGATGAATGAGTGAGGCAGCCTTGTATCAATACCAAAAAGGAAATAAGAGGTAAATTAATATATTTTTAACAAGAGAATACAGTACACCTATGATGCAACAAAAGTATTTTACGTCAGATTTTATCCCCCCAAATTGTTAAAGCAAGATAGATAATTAACATGATTACATCATTTGCATTAATCTACATCATCCGTACTTGCACAAATTGACACAAAGATGCAGTTGGATGGACTTTTGGCTGACATTGTGACAAGACTTGAAGCAGTGAATGGAGGTCTCCGTTTCTGTGCAGGCATGGGCTCCGAATGGCGCCGAAAACTGCCTTGGAGGGGTGGTGAAGCTAAGGAGAGGCGCCCAGTGAGGTTCTGGGGGAGAACGCAACTCCCATGTGGGAACCCCAAGCTTGCTCTCTATGCCACAACGCAGAGAAGGGCGGCCAAGATGGCCGCTACAAAGTTGGGACCTCTGAGAATCACCTAAGCAAAGTGCTGGAGAGGAGATTGGGGACAGTGTACGGAGAAGGGTGAGAAGAATTTACTTGGTTTTATTTACTCCAAAAGACTATAATGGAGAAGATATATAAAGAAATAAATTAGCAGCGATTTGGAATATAGAAGAAAAATTGGGAAATTTTTCTTAAAAGAAAAGTTTAAAAAGAATTAATTTGGAAGAACATTAATTTGGACTTGGCGATCAGACAGGATTTGGCATGGGAAGGCATTATTTTAAATGCTGGAAATAATTGATCTAAAAGAAAATAACATTTGATTTTTGAAATAAATGGAAAAAGGGTGGCAGTGAAACTGAGTTAAAAGCGCCACTGGTTGATGAAAGAAAAATCCTGCAGATCCCTTCAAGCTAACGTTTTAATTAAAAAAAGAATAAAAGGAAGACTTAAGACCCCTGGAAGCTAGAATGTATTAAAATGAAATAGCAAGGTACATTAGAGGACATTACCCCTGGATTCATTAGTGACTTTGATTAATATTGAAAAATAAAAACTGGAGGACATTGATATAAAAATTAAAGAGATGCTGGTTTAAACAAAATAAAAGTTACTGGACATTGGATAACTGGGATAATAAGCAATATAAAGATGAATGATATATGCAAAGACATAAGGATGGACTTTCGAGCTATGAGTGAGATGTGGGACAGAGCTTTGGACATGTACTAAAATACAGAATACAGAGACTAATTCAGAAATGGCAATGGTATTAGAAGAAGAAAGAACAAAGGAGGGGGAGGAGCTAGAAAAAAGAGAAACCAGTGAAACGGAACAAGAGGAACAACAAATAATACAAAAGAAGAAAAAAGAAATTGAACTTGAGATATCAATGATTGATGTAATAAACAGGGGGTATTAAAATTGGATTGCTGATAAATGAAGTGGTTAGGAAATTACAGAAAGGAGATCAGAAGAGGGTGGGGATAAATTCTGAGAACTGGAAGAAAAAATATCAGAAAATGATGCAGAATGGAAGAAGGATTAAGGGGAAAAGCCAAAAGATGATAGAGACTGGTAAGCAAGCTAAAAAAATGACGAAATTAGATAGAAGAGAGACTTAGACATGATGGTTAGCAACGTAATAGAGGGGGACTCCACATGAAGAGGCACCTTAATAGTAAAATAAGGATTAAATAAAATGGAATAGTTGTAAAAATTGGATTTTATAATAGGTTAATAAATAAGATGGATAAATGTTTAAGGAAGATGGCTAATACTACGGTGGGAAAGGGAAGGTTAAGTGGAGTCTGATAGAGAATAGATATCATTATATAGTAGAGGATAATATTTTTAATGAATTATATATTTTGTCATTTATGTGTATAAGATAGTGAGGATATATTATTATAAATTTGACATTTTTGGCTAAAAGAAAACAAGTTGGAAAATATATTTGCGTAAAAAGGAGGAGTTAGAGGGAAGGGAGCATTTAGAAAATAAAAATATATGCAACAATGGTAAATGTAACATTGGAATGCGGTAATATAATTTAAGATGAAATTTTGAATGATTAATGAATTGATATGTATATATTAAATTGTGATATGTTGAATATAAGATTAATGAAGATAGAAATTGACTAAAATAAAGAAACTGAAATAAAGCAATTTATGAGAATATAAAGAAGAAAATTTAGTAACAGATAATAATGTAATGTTAGAAAGCTTTAATGATTAATGAATTGACATGGATAGATTAAATAGTAAATATGTTGAATATAAGAATATATGACTAAAGAAGATAGAGATTGATTAAAAATAAAGAGCTATAAAATAATGTATGAGAATATAAAGATTGGTAATAGATAATGATGTAATGTTAGAAAGCTGTCTTTGTGATTATGGATATAATGGACTTAAAATGTAAAACACACTGTTCTCTCAAAGATGTATTTAAATAATCAAAAAATAAAAAAAAAGCTTTGGGGAAAAAAAGATGCAGTTGGATATCTCTTCCTTCTAAATCATCTTTTAAATTAAGTAACTTTAAGAAAATGTTTAAACAGACTATTTCTAAGCTGTAATGAGATTTTCCCAACACATACTATGTTCAACAGGAAACATTGTTCAAGCTTTCTAACTTACAAATCATAACAGTATTTCTTTGGTTTGGTCTCTGGGATTTGCACAGAGGACAACACATATTTGCAGAAATCTAGAGAGAATGCTTAACTTCCACAATTGAGGAAAAGGTCCTGCCTTCCAACTTGTTAGGATCAAATATTGCTCCAATGAAAACAGCAAAGGTGACTCTATATCTTGCTTTAATATTGCAGTTGGCCATATTTTAACATTTTCCCCAAAAATTAAGTAAGAACCCCCCTTTTTAACCTGATGCAGACATTTCCGCGCTTTGTCATATTCGCTTCTTAAGCAGTAGGCACTTCCAAGATTGAACAGCATCATGGTTCGTGCAGATGTAACAGAACTAGGATAACATTGGGGCACTTGCTTGCCAGCTAGATTAAAATTAATACAGAATGCTATTGTTAAATTACAGTTGGTAAAATTGTATTTTATTTATTTATTTATCACATTTATATGACCCCAGATCTCATACAAAATAACTCTTATGTGAGAAAGGAGAATAAATCTACAGACTAATCAATAGTCAGAAATAGAAGAGCAATATGGCAGAAAATATTAGCTTCTCAAAAAATGCAGATAGCTTTTTAAACTGTAGCTAAGCTGATAAGTAGATTCACTCAGTGAATGTTAATAATATGAAGAAGAAACATCTCTCAGCATTTGGATCACCTGTAGGGGCTCTAGATGTCCATTCTTATGTTTTGTATTTGTAGAAACAGTTTTTATTTACTATTTAAAAAACACTTAATTAAACTGCATTTGTAAATGCAAAAAGCTATTAAAAAGGTGGAATATCTAAATCTGAAGTGATTATTAGTAAGTGCTGACAGCTTTATGAAACTCACTAATAAAATGATAAAATGGTATGATCTGTATTCGCTCTAAGTAAATTGGATACAAAGGTAATTTTTTAATTACTTCACGCTATGCAATAAACTATAAACTCGCACAAACTTACATGATTCCATGGCTTCATTTTCTCCTTTATCAGACCCTAAAGAGAAACCAAATGAAAAGATAGAATAAGCGCTTAATGCATTAAAAGTATAATATTGACAAAAATGTAATCTGGGTTGAGGGGCTATTTGAAGAAAAATTGAAACTAAAACACCCAAAGTAATCATGGTGGTAACAGTTGTAAGGACCAGTCATACTTCACTTTTTTCAATGGCAATGTAAATTTCAACAATTATTAAACAAATGGCTATTAAGTCAAAGGACTACTTGCATTGATTGGCTAGATTGGAAGTCAAGGATTACATACACTGGATGGATTGGAAGAAGTCTCAAAAGAGCAATGTCTCTCATTTGCACAAGACCAATCACAGCACTAGGAACAGCAAAAATGCTTAAAACTGGAAGTAACTAATTATTGCTTTTTGTTTTACGCTTGGAACAAACTTCAACAATGTGGATCATTTGTTTGTCCCCTTATGAGCACAAACATTTCTAATTTGGAATATTTTGCACATCTCCAATTTGAAGCAATTGCAGATCAATTTTCCAGTCTTATATACATTTACATGTTTTTATAAGATGTCTGCATTAGAATTACAAGCCAAACAATTAATTTCTGTCTAATTTGGTATTTAACAAGCATGAACTTAATCTAAAGAAGGCAGTATTTATTCTTTAGTGATTGACATGAATGCATTAACTTTAAAAATATATAGGAAGAAGCAGTCTTTTATAATAGTGTACTACTAGAAGGAGGAACCCTTGCAAGCATCATGGAAAGTCAATTGAAAGCATAACAAATTCTGATAAACTACAGATTCATTAACCTTGATCCTGCTCATTTGAAGAAATCCCCAGGGACACATCAGTGACATTCTCGGGGTTCAAGTGAGTAATAGCATCAGAGATTCTGTCCAGAGAAATAAGGGCCACTGCAGCATACAAATGGCCAAGGAATCTAAAACACCAAAAGCAGAATCAAAAAAATAAGCCTGGTGACAAGGTGCTTCATACAGGCAACTACTGTAACTAATGAAAAACAGAGAATGTGGATTCTTCTCTTAATTCACGGTACCTAATCTAGACATCAAATTCAGTAGAAAGAGATAATTGCATAAAATGGCAATTGCTCATATATTTAAGGAATTGTTCACCCCTCTTTCTTGGTTTCCAGCTACTCCTACAAATCTATTCATGACTAGAATAACTGACCATTTTGATAAAGATCAGCTGCCAGTCAAGATATTGTTGTGCTAAATACATTGTTGGGTTTCATATTCCAAGCCTGATTAGTATTTCTCACTTCCCTCACTGTAAACTCTACTTTACTCTATTGGTAAAATGAAAGAGCAAGAAAATAAAAATCAAGGTTGTGGTTTAAAGGCCCAAAAGGTGTAGAGGTATGAACATTGCATTGTCCTTTATCCACTCTATCCAAACATTTCTTTTTTAAGGATCATCCTACAACTGAACAGTGTAACACAAATAGCAATCATGGTAAAGGGTGGCTGGCTGAACAAGATATAGACTGGAACTAGGTGACTATCCCTATGCACTGCAAAATACTGTCTTTGGAAACACTGGAATTGGAAACATTGCCTACAACGGTAATAAAACAGCTTCCTATCAAAACATCTGTTCACACTCCATTGTTGATTACATTGAAGGCTGCGCCTACATTATATATAAAGAAATAAAATATTCTATTAATATGTAGCAGCAGTATTAATATCTTAACAGTAGGGACAAGCATACTTAAGTGATCCTGAGAGTTTGGGCTGCTGAAGAAGTTTATCTGAATGACTCAGAGCCATAAGGTTGTCCCCCAGTGCCAAAGCTACATAAGCACTGCAGGCAAGTATGGAACATCTGGTAGAGAAAAAGAACAGATATTTATGTATACATATAGCTATCAGGGTGAATATATTTTAGCATATTTTAAGAAAATTTGCAAAAGAAATCACTTATATTAGATCTGATCTAAGAAAGCTGACATTTTCTAGAGCTTAAACCCTCTAGTTACTAGTTAGATAATTACTGCTTTTGGCAGTTGTCAAGCTCACTTTAGCTTCAGTCACATTAAATTATGGCAGGATCTCGAGTGTCTTTATTTCTGGATCCCTGGAGGTACGTTCTTTAATTATACATGAGCAACATGAGAAGATTCTCCATTGCCTCTTCCCCATTTCCTTTATACCATACCTAGATATCATTTCAAATCTCATTCTTGAAAATCTTGCCATGGAAAGGAGGCATACAGTAATTGCAGTTACATAAAGGAACAGGATATAGGCTTTGAATTAGGGGCTAATTGTTCCTGTAGATATATTCAATAAAAACCAAGCCATAAAGATTTTGCAATGAATCAATTCCAAACATATCAAGTTCACACTGATTTTCATATGCAGACACATTCCTTAGTAGACTTTTTGTGGTATTTTATATCAATAGACCCATTATTATGCCAGATATATTCTACAGGAACGGATACATAAATCAAGTAAAGCTACTATATATAATTTTCTCAGTCTTCCTTTCCCACTGCCAGAAATAATCAAAGAATCATAGAATTATAAGCTGTTTGCAATCCAAATGTTAGGCCCCAAGAGTCCATACAAAAGCAGTTGGTATATTCCAATGGATCTCTCCCTCCTCACCCTAACCAATGTTCTCTGGCCGAAGAATCTGCTTGGATGGGGAGTGAAATATCTAAAACCAGCAAAAAATAAGTCCACTTGCCATGACACAACTTTCAAACTTCTATGAACTTAATGTAATGCTTATTAAGCATAGCATAATACTGTGGAAGCAATTGCAGCATGTTATAAATGAATAACCATTAGCATTACCTCAGAAAGATACAGCATATCATTTATTTGATAAAATATTAATATTTCTCTCTTGTAAATTTTTTCTAGTAAACAAAGGTTTTTTGGGGTTTTTGAAAACAGTCATGAGTATTCAATGGGACTAAATTATGGAGTAATTAAATTCCTCCAAACAGGAACACTCATACATGACAATAAAAATCTCTGAAAACCTTGAAGATATTGGAGTATATCTGAGATTTTGTTTGGCATTATTCACGTAACAGACTGAAAAGGGATCTGCAGCACTAAATATTAACTCTATCAAAGAGAAGAACTAAGACTATAGTGGCTTTCTAACTGCAGATTTACCATTCAGATGTTTGGGACTGTAATATTTCCAGTTACCATGGGTAGGTTAAATCATAACTTGCCCTCCTGCTGTTTCAATCAAGAACAATACTCACACTGCAATTATGTGTACTCATTGAACAAAGACCAGATGTACAATATAAAACTAAAATGTAATTTTGTCATTTCTTCATAGTACATGAAGGATAGAAGTTCATTGTTTTCTAAAAGGTACCATATTTTTTGGACTATAAGACATGTAGGTTTAGATGAGGAAAACAAGAAAAAAATAGTTTTTTGCCTGCCTGGCATGCAGCAGCACTCCCCAGGCCAAAAATGGGCCTGTTTTTGCGCTCTGGAAGTCCTGTTTTTGCCCTTCCCGGTGTCCAAAAGCACTCTGCAGGCCAAAAACAGGCAAAAATGGGACCTGCTGAGGCCTCCAGAGGCCAAAACAGCCCTGTTTTTGGCCTGCAGAGTGCTTCTGGACGCACGGGAGGGTAAAAACGGGACACATTAAGGGTTTGGGAGGCCAAAAATAGGCACTTATTTACTTTATAAGATGCACAGACATTTCCACTCACTTTTGGGTGGGGGAGTACGTCTCATAGTCCGAAAAATATGGTACTTCTTCATATTATCACTATTTGTCAGAAACTAATTGTATGCTTTTTAGCTTATTCTGGATGGATGAAAGAACTTACCGTAGGTTTTCTAATTCCTGCTTTCTCAACGGAGAAGATGGTGGAGCAGGAATAAATCTGTCTCCTTCATGACTTTTACTGCTGAAATAAAGACACCATGAATAGTATCTTAAGGATTAATAACAAGTTCAACACTTTCTAGTTACTAAGGAAACTCAAATTAAGCATGTTTAAAGAGGAATAAAAAAGGATTAGATTAATGATCACGGTGAAAAAGATGCAATAGCTTTTAAAATGCATTTTAGTAGAAAAATATTTTAAAAAATTAATATCACAACAGCTACTTTGTAGAAAACTGGAATTCAATTATTTGTATATTTAAGCAAACCCTTAAAATATGCATCAAAAAATCTATACAAAAAACCCAATACAATTTTGAATATGTATAAATATATATTTAAGCCTAAATAAGCAATAATTAAATATCTACAATAAACACTTATATCCAAAAACACTCTTCTACAGATGTAAAATAGATTAATTATTCTTCATAATTTTGGTTGTTGTCACACTTTTAAATATCATCCAAAGAAGATATATTTTAATTTTTCAGTGAATGATGATACTATGTGATAGAAGAATTTCTCCTCTCCTTTGAAGTCAAAAGAGAGATGCCACCAAGTCAATTTAAAATTGAGATGAGTGAAAGAATACATTTTAAAATGTTAAATGTTCAAGATGGCTTGTTTGAACATTTATATATTAAAAACCATTCAGCATTTTTTTCTCCAAAAACAAAATGGAAAATATGAGATAAAAACAATGTTGATCAATACTGAACTTCTTAAGACTTCATATCTTTGTTCAGATATATACCATTCAAGAATTTTTAACAAATTTATGGCACTAAATATCCTGCTTACATTATACTCTACACTACTGCTATGACATTTATGAAATAGCAAAAGGCTTTAAAATTCTGAAGTATGCCCATGCTTTACTAGTGACATAATACCAATACGTGAAGGAAAGAATAGAGAATATGCAAGGGAAAAATGAAATATTTAATTAAAATATTTAAAAAATCATTTATATGTCAAATTTTCAGTTTTTTTAAAATAAAATTGATGTTGTATGACTTTGTTTCCAAATTTAGAGCACTGTATTACAACTAGCAAATTTCCCAAAGTAAGCAATGAAAAGACAATTGAACAGGTTGCATTCTTCATGCCAGAAAAATATCTAATGTAGTCTCTAATTGAGGCCCAGCTAGGTGGTTGAACCTAGCAGACATTTGCTTAAAAATTAGGGAGATTGAATCCAGTAAGTTTTTGGATGGGGAACCACTAGGAAATCCCAGGCTGTAGACTAAATTGGGAAATTGGAAAAACATCCCAGAAAAACCAACAACAAACCATTTCTCGACTGTTGCTGAAGAAAACTATAGAAGTGTTTACAAAGTTTCCAGGAATTGAACCTGACTTCAAGGATATGTTTTCCATTCTCTTTCTTTTATATACACTGTAATTCTTTTTTCAATAACAATTGATCAAAAAAGATAAATTGCTTGTCAATTGTTCACACATTCATACACCATACTGAGAACGCAAATATTTTTCCTATTATCATTCAGTGTTACAACAGTTGTAATATATTCAAGACAACCTCTGCTTACTGTTTATGTGCAAAGTAATTTTTCCCTCAAACTCTATCCACGTTAGCTACCAAACAAGCTATGTCCAATTACTGTCTCACTTACCTGCAAGCTTCATTATTCTCACTGCTGTCATTCCCACTTAGCTGATTAACAACTTTAGATCCATTTTCTTGCTTTGGCTCCTGCTGATCTTCAGGAAGCAACAGCAAAGCATTTCTTAGACAAATTGCTGCAAACTCCATGCTGGCTACAGGAATAGCTGAAGATTGACCGTCACTTGAAAATAAAAATAAACTGTGTATTAATTTTCTCTCCCCTCTTTTATCCCATTTGTTTGCATTATGTCTATTTCATACAGAGCAATCATCAATACATTATGCTTGTTCTTCAGGTAGTTTACCACAGAGTCTGACATTGTTTTGAAGCTGAGACACAAGTGATTGGCCCAAAGATATCCTGTGGCTTCTGTGCCTAAGAGAGAACTAGAAACTGGTTCTCTTGTATCCCTAGTCTAGTACCTTAACTACTACACAACACTGTTTGAAGACACTTTCAAAATGCATCTACTTTAAAAAAATGCATTCAAGTCAATTGGAAAACTGACAAAGAAACTGAAAAAGAAAAATTTTTATTGAGTAATAATGAAAAATTGGATTAATTTATTTTGTATCCTGAAAGCATGTCTCTTTTAAAAGAATTTTAAATATACTAAATAGTTTTACTGAATCATATAAATGAATTCCACATTCAGAATATATTCAACTTTCCCAAGTCACAGTCAACTGTAAAAAGTATCCTATAAATAATAACTACATTTTATATACTTCCAATTTGTATATAAAAAAGTCTTGTGGTAAACATTAGGCCTATTTTTCCATTTATATTCATTTTTGCAAACATTTACAGCAGGTGTGTCCAACCCATGGCCCATGTGCCACATGTAACCGGGGACAGGTAGTAATGCAGCCCCACAAGATGGTAAACTTTTAAAATTATTATGTGATTTATATCCATTAATTATATTATGTATTTTATATGTGGCCCAAGACAATTCCTTTTCACTCAAAGTGGCCCATGCAAGCCAAAAGTTGGATACCCATGATTTCCTCTAAAACCAATGATTTAATAAACAAAAATAGCAAAATATAACAACAGTTAAGAAATGTTCTAATCAACTACTATTCTTTACGATGAAATAACATATTATCTCAAAGTACTTACTTATACACAATGTTCTGCACAGACTGTGATGCTAAGACGATTTTACGATGATAGCCCTGACCTACAATGGACTGTACAATCCCCTTTTTGCTTGGAAGGCCCTTTGTTTCTTGTTCCAAACTCTATGAAAAAACATTGAGAACATCAAGAGACTGACATATTCTCTTCCTGCTCCTATCCAGAATTTTATCTCCAGTCGTGGTCATGGAATGTTTATGGAGCTATTAGGGCTAGAGCTAGTACTGGAGCCAGGGTACGAGATGTTCCAAGCAGGCCAGCCTGCATATTAACCACAGTTGGGGCTATAGTTAACCTAATAGTTGGGGCTCACCCCTGCACAACTGAACACAACTGAAGAAAGAGCAATAATTGTTCCTGTCTGAAATTAAGCTTTGAGTTTCTTATGTGACTTGCATTCAACATCATCACCACTTTAATTCACCTCAAAAATGCCATCCAAATATAGCTGCCTTATTAAGTCATATGATCATAAGGAAATTCTCCCAAAATGAAAATCAAGTCATTAACCTTTTCTGATCTGAGACACAATTTAATCATGGCTTCATAATATCATTTACTGGCTTTAATATGGTGATAAGTCAACCAGGAGTTGCTAAGTGTTTGCTTCTGATATAAATTTTTTGATTCTACTATAATTTATGGCTTATGCAAATGTATGCAAACTGGTTATTGTGTTGTCATCAACAAATTAGGATGTGTCACACATGCACTTACTCAAATAGAAATTGGCAAAGTGGGTTCAGAATGAAATATCAGTGCACACCTATTTATTTTAGTTCTATGTCTGCTGACTACAGAGAGAGAAAAGAAAATTCAAAACAATTGGATTTTCCAATTTTGAGTTGAAGGATGAGAAGAGTGATTGGTTTTTCACTGATTTCTAATATGTAACATAAAAGCTTGACATCCTGAATAAACTCTCATGCCTGAGCAATTTTTCATCACCACTGAAGCATAAAATGTAGTTATTTACATTATTCAAAATCTCTCCTAGGTAAAGGTACACTGCAATTCACCAAAGCAGATGTCATCAACCTTCTTCTGCATAGGGGCATGTCTGTGAGTAGTTGGTAAGTCATTCTCTCCCTCTCTCTCAGGCGAATACACATGGGAGATGCCAATGTATGAGAGGATTATTTAATGCAAACCACAGAGATGTGTTTCTTTCTTAGGGAAAAAAAAAAGGAGACGTGGGCAAAGGGGAAAATGAAGGCATCTTCACCCTCTAATTACCAGTCTTTAGAGATTGGTATTATGTCCATAGTGAACCAAAAGTGTTGTTCCTTTCTCTCCTTAGCATAAGTCTAAGGAGAAAATCAGGCTGGCTTTCACTTCCACCTTCCATTCAGAGCTCTTCGTTTATAGAGTCATATATTTTTATTTCCCTTCTCATAATCAGACTGGCACTTTGCAGCCTCCTGAGCTCCTGTTCATATAGGGCTAGAGGAAAAAATTTTTTTTTTAAAAATGAACAATTTAAATAGTAAAATGCTAAGTTATCAAAAAGCTATTTAAAAACCCATGCTTAATTTTAAAAGGCAGTAAAATTAAATTTAATTTCCAGTGCAAAAAGACCACTGAAAAAAAATCTTACCCCTTTATTAGCAGCAATACAACATTCAGCTATTCTCAACCACAGGCGAGGATTGGAATGATAAACCTGGACAGCTTCTATCAGGCACTCAAAAGCAGCTAGTGGCCTCCCAATATGTAAAAGCTGAATGCCACAGTTATATAGCAACTCATAACGCTTGTTGGTCAGTAACGTGCACATTGGTCGTCCTGAGAACTTTTTACCTGTGATTAAAAACTGAACGTTAACTATGCAGTTTAAGAGAACAGCTACAAAGGGATATTATTGGTCAAGAACCAATTAACTTATCCTCTTACTGAAAAGAAGCTAACAAATACCAGTAATGATTAATCATTATAATTTAATCTCTTCTTGCATGTTGATTATTTAATTTGGAATGTCATTAAAATTATAGATCAAAAAGATATGAAAAGAAATAGAGTTCAAAATCATGATTCCTAGAAATCCCTTTCTTATAAAAAATTAAAGTTTCTTATTTGAGTAGAAACTCAAATGTTTTCAAATTCAGATAGAACACTTTTTAGGAAAACTGATTTCTCTTGAAGTATCAATGTGCTCACCGCCTACTGTATATTATTCCTTTTTTCTTTTATTCTCCTCTAATGTGTGTCCTTTCTGATTATATAAATTCAATTCAAAAATTCTAATCCATACAAAGGCTCAAACTAAATTTATAATTTAAATCCAGAAGAACTGTGTCACCGTTATGTCTTTTTTAAGCCTGAGGCTTATGATTACAGCCTTTCTCAACCTATCCATTAATAAATATTTTTACAGCTGATGAAGTCAATTCAACAAACAATACTCTTGGGATCTTGTGATTTACCCTAAAATATGATCTATGTATCATTCTAGATTTACATTTTAAGAAATGTAATATATTGTGTTACATATAATTCTACTTTTTGTATTTTATTCCTTAGTTGCAAAAAAAGCTAGAAAAATAATTCTAAGGCATTCCATGCATGTTAAAAGAAACCTAACAGTCAATTTCAATAATTAGGAATGTCAAAATTCTGGATTCATTTTATATTTTATTAATCTATTAATTAGTCCTTACAACATATTTATTACTTTACCTGGGTCTGTGCCACCTGTTCCAAGTTGTGCACAGGCATTATCATTTTCTTGCAAAGCCTTTTTAAAATAGAAAATCCCTAAGTTGTGTTTCCCCATAGCAAAATGGATGCAACCAAGATTATTCCAGAACATGCACCGTAAACATTCTCCTAAGAAAAAGCAATACCGAAATGAAATTATGGACTTTCTACAGGAAATGGGCAACATTTGATTTCCTGTACATTTATTTTCAAGACTACATGAAGAGTACACATTTAATTCTATTTTCTTTCACATTCACTGGTTTTTTACAAACCAGCAGTCAGAGCTCATCCGGTTCAACAATAGTAAGCCCTGCATTGACCACTGGAACTCTCCCAATATTATTTCTTCAAATCAAACTCCAAATGTTCTTCAAAAGCTTTCTTGTGTTTCTTGTGAGGAAAAAAGTTTTTTCAGTTCAACTAAATTCATACAGACTCAATGAAACATTTTAATTAATCTGAGCAGATAAGGCAACAACAATATAAGCTGCAAAATTTAATTTGGATGCAATTAACTTGAACAATGAAGTGAAAATTGTTATTATAAAAAAAGGACGTGTGTGTGTTCAGATTGTAAGTTTATCCAGATGTCACATGGCTTTAAAAGATAGTTGGAGCTGCTGGTTTAACCATTGTGAGAGTCCTGAGGCTGTACTATAAGCCTTTTCACATTTACAAGACTTAATTAAAGATGTATTTGATTGCTTACTAAATCAATGGAAGCAGTCTATTAAAGTGACACCTCTCCCAGATAAAACATTTGGAATTTATAAGATGTTCAACAATAAAATGTTTTAATATATTGCAAGTAGAAAAAAAACACATTTACAAGGAGGACAGAAAATATGAAATTGTTAGGGATACATTCATCCAAACAATGTTTTATGTCAAATCAGTGAAAGAAAAATCAAACTATAAAAGTGATTTGTACCTGTCTTCATAAATCCTGGATGTTCAGCAATATTTGAGCTGTTCAGGAGCTTTACAGCTTTCCGATAATTGCCCCTTAAATACTCAAAGTTGCTTTTCAGAAAAAGTGAAGGTGCAGACTGTGAAGTGCATAAAAAGAATAGTTACTGGAACCTTGGGGGAGCAGAGCTTGAAGCTTGAATTAATAACACCAGAAAAGCAAAAGCTGCAGAAATGTCTAAGCGTTGACTATCAGAAAGGTACCACTAAAATCTATATTTTCTAGTGGTCTAAACAGCTATGAAAGCAGTTTATTTAATATTAGACAACCTGTGACCCATTGAGTCATCATTTCAGGAATACTTCCTTTGTAGAGAAATAGAATGACCACAGGTGGGCAAAGAGCAGTGGATAACAAAAGCAACTTCTGATCTGCTGGCTTCTAAACTGACTTTCCTTGTAAGAAGCTGTCAGGGAGCATTGGAAATTACAATCATGTAACTGTTTCTGACTATAGCAGTGACTGCGCTAGCACTGAAGTAGCCAAAGGTTTGCCAAATTTAAATCCCACAGGAGTCATGGCTCATGCATTATGAGTATGTTCTGTAATCAATTTGAATACATGATTCAAAAATTGTTACCACGTGATACATAATTTTGTCCAACTGAAGGTTACAATCAATACAAAACAGTAGATTTGTACAACTTGTACAACTCATGCTCCATTGAGTCATCATTTCAGAGTTATTTCTTTACTAAACAGAGAAACAGAATGACCAAGAGCATTGGGAATCTTCCTTCCTTCCTTCCTTCCTTCCTTCCTTCCTTCCTTCCTTCCTTCCTTCCTTCCCTCATTCATTCATTTGTTCGTTCGTTCCCCCCTTCCCTTCTTTTCCCTTCTCTTTCCAGCAGGCAAATAGCTGCTGTGTGCCGGAGAAGTGAGGATTGCAAGACTGGCTGGGAAACTGTCATAGAACCCTGAAAATCAAGCTCACACAATCCAGATTGAACATTGAAACAGCCACAACCTTTTCACATTTCATTCCCTTCGGGATTATGGATTCCAAATTTTGGATACATTCTGTATATTAGGTTGCTATATGATGCATTGTTTCATCCATTAAACATCATGACAATCAGTTTATTAGTACAGAAAGATAAAGACGCTGCATAAATAGAAGTATTGAAGGAGAAATGTTCATTCAGAATTATAAGGAAGTAAATGAAATAGATGTTAATAGACATTAAAAGAAACACTAAAAGAAATATTTCTTGAGGTGCAGCAGTATCCTTCTAAAGGGATTCTAGTCCAAAGGGGTATTTCAGAATAGCTTTCTAATATTAAAAAAAGTTATATATTTTGAAACAATATGGTCCAAAATAATTTATAAACCTAAATAAACAAGAATTGCTTAAATGATTAATCAGGAAACTTGGTGCACCTTTTCAAACTAAATACTTTTATTTAAAAATAACTTAATTAATTGGAAAAGGCACAACCAGACCTCTGATTCTTTGGCAACATTATGCTCACAAGGCTCTTTTCCACAATATTGATTTTTCAGGGCTGAAATGAACAGCAGATTTTACATATGATAAATATGAAAACTAGCATAACAATTCAAAAACTGCAAGAGAGTTAAGGAAAACAATTAGGCATTTTAATCTCTAATTGTACAGCTATTTAATAATAGAATGTACCCAGTGATGGGATTAAAATAATTTAACAACCAGTTCACTGCCATAATGACCGGCAGGGTAGGTGTGGCTGGGTGGTCATGTGATTCGATAGGCATGGCCAACTCTACGTCACTCCTTTTCACGCCCGGCCTCACCTCGTCAGGTGGCTCACCTCACTCAGCCCCTCACCTCAAAGGCCTCAAGGAGATACAATTTCCTTCTCTATTTATTTACTGTTACCGAAAAATCAAACTACACTATATAATCCTATGTATATATGCCATATATGCAGTGGTAGGATTCAGCCAGTTGACACCAGTTCAGTAGTAGTTAACTTTTTCTTCAGTTAGGCAAACTGTCTGAAGCCTTGCCCCTCCCCTTCCCCCGCCACTCCTCATCTCACCTGGTCTCTCCTCACTGGGCAGCTCGCCTGAGCTTATTTCGTGTCATGACATGACCTGAGGAATGGTGGGGAAGGGGGGAGCAGAGAGGCTCTCTTTCTCTGAGCCTGTACCAATTAGCCTTTCTTTTTCCTTTTTGGTATCCCAGCCACACGACTACCACCATGGGCCACCAGCAGCTATTATACTGCAGCCACCCCAGGAAGTTTGGGCAGGGCTCCTGGTCCTGGTAGATCTCTGACCCTCCCCAACTCCCTCTTTTTGGCCTCTGCTGGGCCCATTTCCAATGCCATCTGGTACACACCGGACTCTGCAACCAGGCCTGCAGTGGCAGGGAACATGGGATTGCTCAGCAGTGGGGAGAGAGAGGGGGAAAGGGTGGCCACTAGCAGAGAGAGGAGAGTGCAAAGTTGGTGTTTCTGAGACAAGGGGAACAGGAAGCGTCTGGGTCCTGCTCACCCAGCCTCTCTTCCTCTTGCAGCCACCTTGTGCCCCAACTGGCATGAACAGTCCCAACATGTGTCGCCAATGGGGAACTTCCGATCTACTGTTGGAATGTGACAGCTGAGACCTGAGGGGCTCCATGAAGGTCAGCTGATTTCTGACTTCTTGGAGGCTCTTCGGGGCCTTGGAGGGGTGGCAATAAAAAAAGGGTGCCCGTAGATTGCAAATGGATGGCAGTTCATGTAGCTAGATCCAGGTTAATAGCAATAGCACTTAGACTTATATACTGCTTTATAGTGCTTTACAGCCCTCTCTAAGTGGTTTACAGAGTCAGCATATAGCCCCCAACAATTTGGGTCCTCATTTTACCCTCCTCGGAAGGATGGAAGGCTGAGTCAACCTTGAGCCTGGTGGGATTTGAAATGCCAAATTGCAGGCAACTGGCTGCAGAAGTAGCTTGCAGTACTGCACTCTAACCACTGTGCCACAGAGGCTCCTAATAATCTTCCTGACAGGTGGAGAAGAAGACATCAATGGCCCAACCAAAGCTCTGACAGTCAGAACAAGCTAATACGAAGAAAAGCGGAAAGGAAACGGTGTACTGGACTGGGGTAAGAAATATTTAATTTCTACCCACAATTAAATCTAAATTCACCACAATAGCTTAGAGAAGAAGGGAGACTCCAAAGAGAAGGAGTTAGGGAATCATTATCTCTTCACCTTCTGGAAGTGGCGAGAGAAAATTAGAAGCAGATTGCATGTCTGCTGGAAGTGAAAGTGAAGCATGGAAGCAATTATATTTAAGTTGAAGAGAATGACTGGACTGAGTACCTCAACAAGAGATCTTTGAAGACACACATGATTTATCCTTTTTGAGTTTTGTTTTGTTTTTTTGAAATTCTGATCATATTTAGTGGAGATTCTTTTTTCTTTTCTATTGCCGCCTTTTTTCCCCCTCTTTACTATTCTGTTTCCGGACATCTCTTTTAGAGTAGAAAGGAAAAGAAGCAAAATTGCCATCTACTGGCTAAAGTTGGAACATTGTCAGGCTACAGAACTTTTCCCATTCACTCAACTAGAATGAACTTCTGAAAACGTATCCAAACGTATCACAAAGGAATTCTTTATTGAGATGAGACAATTCCTGTAGGAGTTCAAAGCAGCGTCTGAGGTTCCTCAGGCATACAGGGATACATAAGGGAGTTTAGAACCCCTCCCCTTATCTCGATGTGTATTTAGTGAAACAAAAGCCAGTATGTTAATTCCTCCCCACCCCTCTTGTTAGAACGAACTATTCAAGAGATTCCCAAAGTACAATCTCACTGTGGAATTTTTATGACCTTCTCATCTCCTGGTTGTGCCTCTCAGAGGTGATAGTTCTGGCCATCTGGCTTTTCTCCCTCCATCGTATCATGTGTGGGTTATACAAATTCAATATAAGATTAAATATATTCAGGTTACATCAAGAAAGGATTTCTTTATCAGCCCCCCCCCCCCCCGCTTTTCTTCTTCCACTGATTTCCACTGATTTCTTCCACTGATTCCACACGGATCTGACATCCTGCCCTCCTTAAAAACCAGATAGGTCTACCTGGAAAAAAACAAAAATCATGCAATTCAGGATGGTTTATCAGGGTATTTTTGGTGGAACTTATGTAGTAATGTGGGTGCTTTTACGTGTTGTTTGGCTATCCACTCATTTTCTGAAGAAGGAAAGTGTTTCCAAGCTACTAAATATTGTGTGGATCCATGGTGAGTGCTTGAATCAAGGATGTCTTTAATTTCAAAATGTTGTTCCCCATGTACCATGATGGGGGTTGGAGGTGTGGGAAGGGGGGGTCTGAGGTTTGAAGTGATCTCTGGTTTGATCAAGCTACAGTGAAATACTGGATGAATCTGCCTAAGTGTTTTTGGAAGTTGAAGCTCTATCATCACAGGGTTAATAATTCTGGAGATGGGGAAAGGGCCAATAAATTTTGGTCCTAATTTCTTAGAGGGTTGTAATGTTTTTAAGGATTTTGTGGACAAGTATACACGGTCCCCAATCTTGAAAGGTTTAGGTTCGCAACGTTTTTTGTCTGCATGAGTTTTGTAAACTGTTCTAGCTTCCTGTAAAGATAATCTTACCACTCGCCACATGGCTTGTAAGTTATCCATCCACTCCTTAAGGGAGGGGATTTCAGGATCTTTAGTGGGTAGTTCCGGCATGGGGTTGAATTCTTGGCCCGTGGCTACCTGGAATGGGGTGAACCCTGTGCTACTATGGACTGAGTTGTTGTATGCTACCTCTGCAAACGGAAGAAGATCAGTCCAATTATCCTGTTGGTGACTAATAAAACATCTTATTGTTCTAATACGCTGTTCACCCTCTCCGTCGATCCGTCCATTTGGGGGTGATTTCCTGACGACAACCCCTGGGTGAAGCCTAATAGGTTTAAAAACGTCCGCCAAAATTTGGATGTGAGCTGAACACCCCTATCTGAGATAATCCGTTGGGGAGCTCCATGAAGGCGATAGATGTGTATTAGAAACATCTTTGCCAATGCCTTGGCAGTTGGGATCTTTTGGCATGGGATAAAGTGAACCTGTTCGGAAAAAAGATCAGTTACAACCCA